CACTCGCCTCCAGCAGCTCCGAGTTGGGCTCGGCCCCCTGGCGCAGCCTTCGCCAGCGGACACCTAGGGAAGCCGACGCCCCCCACGCTCCCCGGCGAAGGGAGAGCTCGGCCCCCACTGCGGTTCGCAGCCTGAAATTTACCCGCCCGCCCCCCTCTGCCCGGAGACCCACACGCGGTGTTTGCGGGGAGGGAACAGGAAAGTGAGGTTACGTGCGAACAGGACTAGAAAGCGATTCTCCCCCTTTGCTGGGAATATTGGGGAGGGCGTGGGGATGGGGGCATCAGACAGGGGCGAGTGGAGGTAGGGACACACAGACCTCCTGAAATCCTGGGGTGACCCCTGCCCTTCTTCCCCTCTCCGACACCCTCCTCCAACACCCAGTTCCCCCTCCCCACACTCACACTGACACTCACGCGTCCTCACACTCTCCGCTGACGCTGCTCTACCAAGTTCACCCAGCTTCCCTGTGGTGGCCGAGCGCCCCCTAGTGACACACCCCAGCTCTGGCTCAAGAGGGAATGGGCCTCAGGATGAGAGTGAAAGATTACCCCTGAACCCTGCATTTCTGGTCTCCCAAACAGTGGTATTTTTTGGACTCGGGGTCACATGTGCAGAGAGCCCAGTGACGGGCACAGAGGGCCCACCGTGTGTCCATCTGGACAATGTGCTCACCAAAGTGAGCTGCAGCCAGCAGGCTGGGGTGACTGGGTTCCTTTGGGAAGTATCCAGGGGGGGCTTCCCTCCGGAAGTCCGGAAGAGTATTTGGCACCAAGTTTGTGGGGCCGAGAATGGAAAGCGTGTGGTTCTGGGGTTAGTCAGTGGCCCAGAGGAAAGAGGACCTGTTGGAGACCACGTATGCTCCGTGGAGCCTGGCAGAGCCCAAAGGGAGAGGCAGCGGGGCAGACAGAGGCCCTTGTTTCTGCTCCCCCCGCCCAGATGTTGCCAGGGAACTGAGGCCAGGGGCTGGTGGAGCGGAGGGAGGCCAGGGCCTGAGTGATGATTCAAACCTACTCACCAGCACTAAGGAACGTCTGT